CCCTGCCATATTCCTGGGCCTCTAGCTGCCTGACTCCATCTACTAACTGTTTCCATCCCATTCTCCTGTGCCAATAACTTGCAGTGCCCATTTGCTATCTCCAGCATCGGCAGCCTGGTCCTAGAACAGATGGAAAATTCTTGAAGGGCACTTAGGGTACTTGAAGGGAAACCCCAGGGTCCATCTCCAGCTCAGAAGGGTGTCTGATCCATTAGGCAGAGGCTTCCCTTGGCTTAGCACAATGTCTCCCCATCAGACAAGCCAGGCCTCTCTCCACTCAGAGGCTACGTCTGCCTTATCAGAAAGGGCCTCCCACAGCTCAGAGGCCAGGTACCCCCCTCAAATAGAACAGACTCCCCCCCACCCCCCAGTTTAGGGACTGTGTTTCTTCCACTCACCAGAGACTTCCCTTAACTCAAGGACAATGTCTCCCCCATCAGACAGGGGCTCCTCCAGCACAGAGGCCAGGCCTCCTCCATTAGACAAGGCAGGTGGGTTCTCCCTCCATTCAGGGATTATGTATCCGCCATTGGACAGGGACCTCCCCCAGCACAGACACTTGTCTCTCCCCTCAACCAGGGCCTCTCCCCCTCAGGGACTATGTCTCCCCTATCAGACAGGGGACTTCCTTAGCTCAGGGACTGTTTTCCCCAAGAGTTTAGGGCTCCTCCAGCTGGAGGACCATGGTTCCTCCTCCCTCTGCTCCTCCATGGTTCCAGGGGGTCAAGGCCAAGCCTCAGGGTCAGACTGGTCCCTCTGGAGTCTTGCAGAAGGCCCAGCAGCCAGTTGGCTGGCCGGTTTCCCACAGGCTTGTGTAGAAGTTAAAACAACCAGAGACAATCTGGCCCCAGACACCCACTCCAGGACCTAGTTTCAGTGACTGGCTCCAACTTCTCTCTGGGCAGGAGCCAAAGCAATGATTAATAAGCTCCCCCATGGAGCAGCGTGCCAGCACCCCCAGCAGCTGAGGGTGAGCTGAGGCTAAGGAGCCCAGGCCCCTCCCTCTAGGCCCAGCTCAAAGGGGTCCACGCCCCCTTTCCCTGGGACGCTGGAGAACTGGGGGCTAGATGACTGATATCCCAACATCATGTCTTAGGAAACGTTTCCCAAGGATTGGGCTTAATTAAATTCCTATTGCAAAAGTCCTTAGTGGGAACATGATGTAAACCCTGTGGTTATCACCCCCTTAAACCACAAGCAGCTTGATTTATTATCCCAGGATACAGTCAGAATAATAACAGTAGTGCAAGGAGTGATAATTGAAATAATAATTGTACCTTATATAAGTAGAGTTTAAAAAAATAATATACGAAGGGCTTTCCATTCATCATCCCATTTGATTTTTCTAATAGTCCTTGAGAAAGGATTACAGACCCGATCTTTCAGGTGAGGAAACGCAGGTTAGGGGAGGAAAGGAACTTCCGTAAGACTGTGCACTGGTCAGTGTTGGGGCCTCTAATCCAGGTCTCTGACCTGACGTCCAGGGTCGTACAAGAGCCTGGCTCACAGCAGGCAATCAGTGGTCATGGGATCAGAATCTCCAGAGAGGATGGCCTGGTTATAACAAGGACCCTGGTTACTGATCAACTGAGCTCATAGTCTCAGGATTAGGGTGGCATGGATCTTAGATCATTGAATCTACCCCCGCCCCCCAACCCCAATGCACAGATGGGAAAACCAAGGCCCAGAGAGGAGCAATCGTCCAGGACAAAAGTCCAGGTTTCTGCACTTTAGCCCAGAGCTCCCTCTACCCAAACCACTGCCTGGGAATTTAATATTTACTGAGAGCCCTCTGCTAGTGGGGCTCAGTGGTAGCTGGGAGAGGGGGTCACAGATGACACAGGCCCTGGCCTTCAGGAGCTCACTGCTGGGGGAAGGACTGGACCAGTGTGCAGCACAGATCTGAGCTGATCTGGAAGCCCTAAGGGTTCAGAGAGCCGAGAGGAGGGGAGCCAGGCTAGGTGAGCCAAGGAGAGCAGTGGCACTTGATTTTGACCTAGAGGAACAAGGAAGATTTTGATAGCAATAAAAAATGATGTTCCAGGCAGAGGGGGTCATATGAGCAGAGACTCACAAGAAGTGTAGGGTGCTCAGGAGAGGCCTATAGGTATGGAAGATGAATCAAGAAAGACAGGAAGGGGCTAGAGCTTGTACAGTCTCAAATGCCCCTCCAGCTCTGGCCTGAGCTCACCTACCTTTGATGAACTGGACCACGGTCAGGTCTGGTGCAATCTGGGCTAGGCCATCCTGCTTCTTTGGGGACTCCTCAGGGGTCTGCTCAGAGGAGTCTTTACCCTGGGAAGACACAACCAAGGGGGTCAGGTGGACAAGACATCCTGCTCAGAGATGCTTGTGGGCTGGGGAAGGGAACTCTGGGAGAGGAGGGGGTGGGGGTCTGTCACCTCCTCAGGAGCAACAGGGGCCAGCAGTGATCTATTTGTTCTTGGCCCTATAGGTACATAACAAGTGTTTTTTTCTCTCTGTATGTGTTTTTAAGAAAACAGATTTTATCGCCCAGCAATTAAAAGTATTCAAACATGTATTTTCTACATAATTTATTGTGAGGTGACCAATGTTAAATAAAATATTAATTTTCATCATTTGCTTCAACTCATGACTTCTTGACTAATTCTTTGTTTTGCCTTCCAAAATGTCAATGCCACACCTCTGAGGCAATGAAGAATTTTTAAACACCACAGCTAAGAACTTGAATATTCATTCATCTGCAATTACCTATATGCTTGTTACATGCAATTGTACTTCTAGTGGTTTAGTCATTTTCTATGATAAGTTTTTGGAAAACATTCATCATACAAGTAGTTTTGAAAGAATGGATGAAATTCCAGTGGTCAAACTTTGTCTTCACCATCATTAACATCATCATAATCACCAACGTTACCATGAAAATTACCACCATAACTCCAGTCATCATTAGTATTCCCATCATCTTAAATATCACCCCATTCACATCACCAATATTATCATGAATAAATGACCAATATTGTCCTAATTATTATCATTGTTTCTGTCATAGTCACCCACCACCAGCACAATCAATTATCATCATCACTGTCACCTGACACTTCAGAATCACTAATGAAATCATGACTCTAAGAATCACCAATACCATTATCACTGTCTCTAATATCATCATTATCCCTGCCACTGTCTTTCTTGCCATCAGCATCACCAACCTCTATCTGAACTTAACACCACACCGCTACCTCCAGTTATTATATCACTCATGGCTATCATCACTTGGAAAGTCACCATAGCAAGAGCCTCCAGTGACCTATGCCTTCCTAGAGGTTGCGGTTGGTTGGGCCTACAGGCTTATCTGTCCTATACTGTCTGCCGTGAGAAGAAGAGAAGAGGGTTGGAGAGGCAAGAGGCAACAGCTCCTCTCCTCTCACATGAGTCAGGCCACACTCGGAGAGGATTGCTCAGCTCTACCCTCACACTATGAGGGGACTCATGGACACCCTGGAGTGTGACCTCCCAGCTGCGCGAGGGTGGCCTACAAAAGAGGACTTTTATCCTGGGAAGGAAGAGACGCCGGGCCACAATCACGTCTTCTGATTGTCAGAAGGGAAGGAGGAAATTATGAGAATGATTAATGGTTACTAAGCACCTGTTATAAGCCCGGTGCTATTCTAGCAACTAATGCATTAACTCATTGAAACCTCACAGCAACCTTCTGAAGTAGGTACCATTATAATCCCTATTTTTAGGGGATAAAATGGAGACACAGAGAGATAAAGTAACTTGCTTGGTCACACAACTAGTAAGTGGTCTGGCTATGATTTGAACTCAGACAGCTCGACTCCAGAGCCTCTATGCCAGGGGTCCTCGAACTTTTTAAACAGGGGGCCAGTTCACTGCCCCTCAGACTGTTGGAGGGCCGGACTATAGTTTAAAAAAAACTATGAACAAATTCCTATGCACACTGCACATATCTTATTTTGAAGTAAAAACAAAACGGAACAAATACAATATTTGTATTTGCATGTGGCCCGCGGGCCGTAGTTTGAGGACCCCTGCCTATGCACTTGGCTGGTTCACCCTGAGCGAAGGGGGAACCAAGGTCACTGAGTGCTGAGTATTCCACCCGCCTTGCTCTAATATAATATTTTCTTGCAGGTATTATTATTGTGCACAGTTTTTAGATGAAGAAATGAAATCTTGGAGAAGTTGCTACTGGCACAGGCTCATTCTAATGTAAGTGATCAAGTGGGTCTGATTTCACTCCATTTTTCTCCGCATCCTAAGGCCAGAATTAGAAGTAACATGTTCTATGGAGGAAGACTGAAGCCCAGTGTCAAGAGCACCTTGGAGGAGGCTGCCCTGGGAGGAAGTGAGTTCCCCATAACTAGAAGCATGCAAGCAGAGGCTGACTTCCCCTTGGTCCATGCGGGAGGGCAGGTTGGGCTGGAAAACTTACCTGGGGGTCCTCTGGTTCTGCCTCTTATGGACAAAAAAGAGGTTGCGTAATAAAACTGACAAGTGCAGTGATGGAAAGGAACCTCACAGGAGGATCTGATCATAAATTTCTAACTGGGCAGGTCATGTGAGTAGTCACACCCCAGGCCTATGACATTTATAGTACAAGATTTATCTCTGCCTTAAGCAAGTCCTGTCCGTTGTTCTTGTGCATCTAGGCCAACACACCTTTGAAATGCCAGAGGAATCCTCTTTCGCAGACCCTCAGAGACATCCTCAGGAGAACCTATATCTTAACTATGCTATCCCTTGCTTTCTCCCACCTTCATTGCTCCCTGACTCCAAACGTATAAAGAAAACTGCAGAACTGTTATTCTCCGGAGCATCTGAAATCTTGCTTCCCAGCCACTGTCATCAGGTTGGTTCAAATAAATCATATAAAGCTCTTCTCTTCCCACGGAGCCTTTGTCCCTACAGGCCTCACCCTTCGGTCTGTGTCTAACACTTTCTCTTTCCTTTCTCACCTTTTTATTTTTTTATTTTTAAGGGAGCCACTGGAGGCAAATACTGGATTTTCCCACATTTCAGAACCTCATGCCCGCCCCCATCCCAGGGGCAGGCTGTTCCAGTCTTCTCCCACCTGGCTCCCGGGTGCTGGTTGGCTCAAGACTGGCCTCGCCCAGCAGGGAAATCCATTCAAACATCAATTCTTGTGGTTTTCCCCTCTTGGGCTATTCCTTTCTCCTTTCTTTTATTTCAGCAGGTAGCAAAGCTCTGGGTTTCCTGGCTTCAGGGGAGGTTTGCGGCAGGACAGAAAGCAATTCTCCATTGCTTTCAGATTTTCCTTCCCTGCCTTTGTTCCCAAAGCCTGAGGCCATTGAAAAAGTATGCTGGGTGTTGTGTATGTATGTGTGTGTGTGTGGAGGGGGGGCGGGGCGGAGGAGGGTGCGAGGAGAAGGAGAGGCCTTTGGGAATGAGGGGTGAAGGGGTGGGGTCAAGCCGTCTGTGGGTTCCATGAGCAACAGAGAACAGTTTACCTCGAGGGGGCAGGCTGCAGGCTAACCTGGGGAGGCTGGGCTCCCTTGTCCTCAGCTACACCGAACTCCTACCTCCAAGCTTGTTGAGGGGGACCACGTGGGACAGGATGGACTTATGCTGCATTTCTTTTTTTCCTTTTTTTCATATATTTTTATTGATTTCAGAGAGGAAGGGAGAGAGAGAGAGAGTAACATCAATGATGAGAGAGAATCATTGATTGGCTGCCTCCTGCACACCCCCTACTGGGGATCAAGCCTGCAACCTGGGCATGTGCCCTTGGCCAGAATTGAACCTGGGACCTTTCAGTCTACAGGCCAACGCTCTATCCACTGAGCCAAACCGGCTAGGGCTGAGATTGCATTTCTTGCTGATCTGGCAGGATGGGCGTTCCATGTGAAAGTTAAGTTAATTTTCAGAGAAGATAAAGAAGTGTTTATACTTGGTATGAGTCGAAGCTTGTTCATGATCTCTCCCCTGCTAGTCTCTGAGATCTGCAAGAGCCCACCCCCACCCCAGGGGCACACTGTCCCAGCCTTCTTCCACCTGGCTCCCTGGTGCTGGTTGGCTCAAGACTGGCCCTCAGGGACCCTGTTCTCTGTCAAAACTCTGGTGCTTGCCCAGCCAGCGTGGCTCAGTGGTTGAGCATCGAACTATGAACTAGAAGTCCCGGTTTGATTCCTGGTCAGGACAATTGCCCAGGTTGTGGGCTCGATCCCCCCTGGGAGGGCATGCAGGAGGCAGCCAATCAATGATTCTCTCTCATCATTGATGTTTCTATCTCTCTCTCCCTCTCCCTTCCTTTCTGAAATCAATAAAATAAAAACAACTACAACAACAACAAAAAACCCTTTGGTGCCTAGCCAAGGGCCTGGGGCAAAATAGCAGATATCTGATAAATAGAGGAAAGAAGGAATGCAAGAAGTGGTTCCAACAGGTAGTGGGTGCAGCCAATGCCAGGCTCTTGGAAGAAAAATGAGAACGTCAACAGGAGATACTATCATGCTGCAAGTAAACTCTTAGACTGCTGCTGGCTCAGAGCGGGGCAGAGGGTCTACACCAAGCACCCCAGGGGCCTAGCAGAATGGAGATGGCAGGCACACCAGGCCACTGGCTCTGTACGCACGCTCCCGCTCCATCCTCACTGGGACCTGCAATGGAAGAGACTTAAGCACTCCACACGCAAGCAAACACGCTGTGAGGTTAGGTAACTTGCTCAACATCACACAGCTAGAAAGTGGCAGAACTAAGATCTGAGCTCAAACCTGCCAAGTAGGAAACTCACGCTTCATCCACTGAGCCCTGTAAGTCAGAGCCCCTGGTGCAGAACTGGCAGAATTAGGAGGCCCCTTTGTGGTGCGATGTGAAGGAGCCTGAAATCCCACCATTCTGTCCCGTTTCTCCTGGTGAGGTATGGTGGGGCTGTTATTCATTTATACCTTAGAGCTGTGCTGTCTGAGCCACCGGCCCACGTGGCACTGAGGACTGGAAATATGGCTAGTCCCAACTGGGATGTGACATAAATATAAAAGACACATTGAATGTCACAGCCTTAGCATGAAAATGAAAGAATGGACAATATCTCATTATTAATGTGGACACAAAGGGGCTCTATAATAAAACTGACCAGTCCAAGTAACCTCACCCGGTGATCTGGTCATAAATTGCTAACTGGGCAGGTCATGGTGGGTAGTCACTCACCAGGCATATAACTTCTTTAGTAAAAGCTTATATTGCCTTAAGCAAGTTCTGCCCATGGTTTCTGTTCATCTAGGTCAGTGGTCGGCAAACTGCAGCTCGGCAAACTGCAGCTCGTGAGCCACGTGTGGCTCTTTGTCCCCTTGAGTGTGGCTCTTCCACAAAAAAACGACTTCTGCTCATGGGGCACGAAGTTTCAATCGCACTGTACGTGCGCGCCTACACGTGGTATTTTGTGGAAGAGCCACACTCAAGGGGCCAAAGAGCCGCATGTGGCTCGCAAGCCGCAGTTTGCTGACCAGGGATCTAGGTTAACACACCTTTGAAAAGCCTTTTTTTCAGACTCCTGGGAAGCCTAACCACCCTTAAGGGAGCACATAATCTTCTCTTTAAAAAAAAAAAATGTTTTCATTGATTTGAGAGAGAGAGAAACATTAATCGGTTGCCTCCTGCACACGCTCTGACCGGGAATCGAACCCACAACCTGGGCATGTGCCCTGACCAGGAATCGCCTTTCCATGTAGGAGATGACACTCAACCAACCGAGCCACACCGGCAAGGGCGAGGGAGCACATAATCTTGTTAACTGTCCTGTAATCCTATCCCACCTTGCTTTCTCCCACCTCCATGTAATCTTCCTTACATTCCCTCCTTAATTCCAAATATGTAAAAAATTCCAAAACTGTCATTCTCCAGAGAATTTGAGATCTTGCTTCTCAGCACTGTCATCAATTTGGCTCAAATAAACACATAAAAATTCCCTACAGGTTTGAAGTTTCTTATGTTAACATTAATTTTTTATATTTATGATATACTACAATGATAATATTTTAGATGTAATGGGCTAAATAAAATTTATTATTAGAGAATCATTGATTATCCAAGAAAATAACAACTACAAAACAGCAGGTGTAGCCATACTTATATCTGACAAAAGAGATTTTAAGATAACAAAGGTAACAAGAGACAAAGATGAACATTTTATAATGATAAAAAGAACACTACATCAAGAAGACATAACACTTCTTAATACACACCCAATCAGGGAACACCAAAATATATAAAACAGAACTAAAGGGAGAAACAGACCAAAACAGTCATAGTTGGGGACCTTAATACTCCATTGACAGCTCTAGATAGACTATCCAAACAGAAAAATCAATAAAGAAATATCAGCCTTAAATGACACATTAGACCAAATGGACATAATTGACCGTTACAGAGCCTTTTGTTCCAGAACATCAGATTATACATTTTTCTCCAGTGCACATGGAACATTCACAAGGGTAGACCATATGTTGGGTTACAAAACTAGCCTCAACAAATTTTAAAAGATTGAAATTATATCAAGCATATTGCCTGACCACAATGCTTTGAGATTAGTAATCAACTGCAAAAAGGAAGAAAAGAAACCCACAAATACATAGAGATTAAATAACATACTAATAAAAAATGATTGGGTCAAAGAAGAAATAAAAGGTGGGATCAAAAGGTATATAGAGACAATATGACATTCCTGAAATGCAGCAAAAGCAGTAATAAGTGGGAGTTTATATCATCACAGGCCTATCTCAAGAAACAAGAGAAATCCCAAGTAAACAACCTAACATTATACCTGAAAGAATGAGAAAAAGAAGAACAAAAGCAACCCAAAGTCAGCAGGAGAAAGGAAATAATAAAAATTAGAACAGAATTGAATGAAAGAGAGAACAAAAGACTATAAAAAACTAATACAACAAAGAACTGCTTCTTTGAAAATATTAATAAAACTAATAAACCCTGCCTAGACTCACTAAAGAAAAAAGACTCATATAAACAAAATCAGAAATGAAAGAGAAGTTACCACAGACATTATAGATATACAAGGATCATACTAGAATACTATGAAAGACTATATGCCACCAAATTCAATAACCTAGAAGAAATGGGTAAGTTCCTAGAAATATATAACCTTCCTAGACTGAATCATGAAGAACTGGAAAATCCAAGTAGACCAACAGTGAGTAAATTGAAACAACCATCAAAAACCTCCCAAAAAATCCAGGACCAGATGGGTTCACTAGTGAATTCTACCAAACATTCAAACATACCTATCCCCCTCAAACTCTCAAAATTAAAGAAGAGGCAATAATCCGTAATACATTTTATGAGGTTAACATAACCCCAATACCAAAACCTGGCAAGGATAACACAAAAAAAGAAAATTACAGACCAATAACTCTGATGAATACAGATGCAAAAATCTTAAAATACTAGTAAATCAAGTACAACAACACATTAAAAAAATTATACATCATGATCAAGTGGGGCTCATTCCAGGGGCACAAGGATGATTCAACATATGCAAATCGATCAATGTAATACACCACATTAACAAAAGAAAGGATGAATATCATATGATCTTATCAATAGATACAGGAAAAGCATTTGATAAGATACAACACCCATTTATGATTAAAACACTCAGTAAAATGACAAACCCTCAGCCAATATCATACTCAATGGTGAAAAACTGAAATCATTTCCTCTAAAATCAGGAACAAGACAGGGATACCCACTCTCAACATAGTTCTGGAAGTCCTAGCCAGAGCAAGCAGGGAAGAGAAGGAAATAAAAGGCATCCAAATTGGGAAGGAAGAAGTAAAAATGTCACTTTTTGCAGATGACAAGATTCTCTGTATAGAAAACCCTAAAGATTCCACCAAAATTCTATTAGAAACAATAAACAAATACAGAAAAGTTGCAGGATACAAAACCAATGTACAAAAATTGATTTTTATACTTAGTTCTTATATACAAATGATGAAACTTCAGAAACAGAAATAAAAAAACAATTCTTTTTGCAATTCAACCAAAAGAATAAAGTACCTAGGAATAAACTTAACAAAGGGTGGGAAGGACCTATATACTGAAAACTACAAAGCATTATTAAAAGAGATTGAAAAAGCCTTGGCTGGTGTGGCTCAATTGGTTGGAACCTCGTCTGTACACTGAAAGGTGGAGGGTTCAATTCCCAGTCAGGGCACATACCCGGGTTGTGGTTAGATTCCTGGTCAGGGTTGTACGGGAGGCAACCAGAGGCAACTGATTGATGTTTCTCTCTCTCTGCCTCCCACTCCCTTTCTCTCTATCTAAAAATCAATAATAACATATCCTTGGGTAAGAGAGAGAGAGAGGAGAGAGATTTTGAAAAAAGCATAATGAAATGGAAAGATATTCTGTGTTCATGGACTGGAAGAATCAACATAGTTAAAATGGCCATTTTACTGAAAGCAATATATGGATTTAATGCAATCCCCATCAAAATCCCAATGTCATTTTTTAAAGAAATAGAACAAAAAAGCAATCATCAGATTTGTATGGAGCCACAGAAGACCCGAAGAGCCAAAACAATGCTGAGAAAAAAGAACAAAGCTGGAGGTACCACACTAC